ATCCTTTTTCTCATGGATGGTGAACATTAGTGAATGTCAAGTATAAGTACAATGTTGTAGAACTGTCAGACAATTCCAGAAAAGGCCGCAGGAACTAGCAGTTATAACTGCCCGGAGGGCGGGTATTTCTGCCAGTACGTTTAATATCGTTTAAGAGTAAGTTTAACCTACTATTTTAAAACTGATTATTCTTTAAATTTTTCAAAATGGAATCGATAGATCAGAAATAGAAATAATCATTACAGCTTTAAGAAGTGAATTTAAGATTAAATATATATATATATATATACCAACTTACCATCTGTCAGAAGGAATATGATGGTCTTCATTGCTCGATCGACAAAGGTATGTTTCGACAGCGGAATCATCTGGGTCTTAACAAAATCCAGGGCCGAGCTTATAGCTGTCCCACCCTCTGCAAGTAAAACCAAACATTTGTTATTATTTAAAAGAGTTACTTAAATTAGATCGATCATAACTTGTAACGTAACTTAGTTAGTAATCAGATACATTTTCTTCGCGGTACATCATAATAATGAGGAGTAGTTTACTGATTTGAGTCATTTAACTCAGTTCTTTTCTCAGATTAATTCTTAGTTTTTAGCTTTGAGACGTAATATCAAGACATCATAAAAAAGTGCGCATCAGTTGTACTATCTACATCTACGTCCCCCGATGGGGCAGCAGCAAGTCTCCGGGCTCACAACGCTAAAATCCAGATTCGATTCTCCGCGGTGGAAACAGCAAATAGTCCAATATTGCTTTGCTCTAGAATTAACAAACAAATTTTACATCTACTTAGTTAGCGATTTAAAATATTTTTTTTCAAAACCAAAAATACTACACACTACCCGAGCTGAAAGTTCAAAAAGCATTATCTGGAATATTTTTTTAAATCAAAACCAATGACTAACCAAATCTATCAATCAGTGAATCGGATCAGAATCTCTGTAATAAACTGGATAAAGGCCAGGAATCAGTATTTCTGAACTAGGGTTTTATAGACGTTCAAAAATTCACATAACTTACTCTAGAAATACGTAAAAGACATACTCCTAACAGTCAAGCTGATATTCTAGTACACGCAAAATGAATGCACAAACTGATACCAGGGCCTGAAAATCATCTAACATGCTGGGATTTTAGGAACTGACAGTCTTTCTTATTACAAAATATGAAGGTCGTTTATCAAACTCTTTGATAGCCTACTTCATTTTCCTGTAACAGTAATTTCTATTTGATTAAATTAATCAATGAAACGTGAAAATTTATTCTGGATATTCTTGATTTAAGAAGAAGGAAAAAAAGTTCTTTTACGCATGTTTATTTTTTTCTCAAGCTCAGAGTTTTTCTCCATTAAACTTGTTGACTTCTAAGCTTGGTTGATACGACCTGGTAAAAACATCCGAGTTGATTTCTTTCCTGAATATCTAAGTTTTCATTATGGTAACTTTCGTAGCTCAGAGTTTTTCTCCATTAAACTTGTTGACTTCTAAGCTTGGTTGATACGACCTGGTAAAAACATCCGAGTTGATTTCTTTGGTATTTCTTTCCTGAATATCTAAGTTTTCATTATGGTAACTTTCGTAGCTCTAGTCCACTTCATATCAGTTGCTACACTAATTATTATTATTTTAAATGTTTTAATAGCCCTGGGGAGAAACCGAAGCTTTTAAATCACTTTTCAATACACGTTTTTCATAGGATTCTTTAATAAACGATTACGTTCGCCTAGCGGTAGGTAAAAAGACTATGATAGATATTGTACTTTGTTTTGAATTTCGCTCAAAGCTACACGAGGGTCATCTGCGCTAGTTGTCTCTAATTTAGCAGTGTAAGACTAGAGGTAAGGCAGCTAGTCATTATCACCCACCGCCAACACTTGAGCTACTCTTTTACCAACGAATTGTGGGATTGACCGTCACTATATAACGCCCCCGCGGCTGAAAGGGCGAGTATGTTTGGTGGAACGGGGATTCGAACCCACGACCCTCAGATTGCGACTCGAGCGCCCTAACCACCTGGCCTAAATATTGTAGTATCCTTTTTCCAGTTATGTTTACTGATTAAAATATGCGCCTAAAGTATGCATTCCGTAAAAAGCAGTCAAGATGTGAATAGGTTAGCGTCAAAGCCATTATTTAATACGTACACCTTAACCCTTAAATGGTAAAGTAGAGTCAGAATGACATACGTCGATCTTTTGAAGTCTATATTCCAACTCAGATAACTTTACCTGATATTTTTTTGTACTGTATCTTCAATAAGTTCTTCAGTCAGTTCTTGAGTGTTGAGCAGAGCGGATGCGCTGTCACAGTTCTCTTTCTTACTGATAAAATCGATTGATTGTCTTTTGTGACCCCCCACCGTATTATAAAGATGATGTTTTTGAAGTTTATTTATACATGACCCATCCTACCACTTATACCACCAATAATTTTCCCCTACCAGTTCAGGGTTAGATACATGAATTTGTATGTTTATCAAAGCTTCATCCTTCTTCTCTATATTTCCCAGTTACATAGGTGTTGCAAGCGATGGCTGACAGCATACTCTAACAATATAACAAAACCCATCGTTGGCTTCTAAAACACGATTATGTAAATACTGTATAGTTTGCCCCCCAGTGGCACAGCGGTATGTCTGCGGACTTACAACGCTAGAAACCAGGTTTCGCTAACCGTGGTGGGCAGAGCACAGATAGCCCATTGTGTAGCTTTGTGTTTAACTACAAACAAACTGTATAGTTAGCCTCAGATATAAGTCCAAAATAACCAAACTCCTGTAACAGAATTACATAATAATAAAGGGGCCGAGTGCGCGGGCCCAGTGGTTTAGCCTAACAGACTATGAAGCTGAGGGTCCGTGGTTCACGTCTCGTTGCTGCTGGATTGTGAAGCTGGGACCGTGAGGGCGTTATAAAAGTGACGGTCAAATCTCACTACTCGTTTGACAAAAGTTAGCGGTGCGTCCTGTTGACTGTCTGCTTTCTTTCTACTCTATCACTTCAAAATTAAGATTGACTAGCGCTGATTACCCTCGTGTAGCTTTACGCAAAATGGAAGCAAAACATGATGATAATGTATTATATACGTGTAATAGTTAAAATCCGATGTTAGCGAAGTTTTTCATGTTATAACGTTTACCTACCTGTAAAATGAAATTGATCTAAAGCATTCAGAACCTCTTCTTCAGTAGTATAATCTTGTGGAAGAAAAGAGGCTGACACGGTTGAACTAAAACTGACCGCTCCAAATCTTGTTCCCGATTCCTTGACGCCCATCTGCCCAAAAATATTTGTTCAAATAGATTTTTTATTTAGTACTGACTAAAGTACAAGATATAACACCTGAGGTACTTGCTAGATTGTACTGATCAAAGTACGGGATGTAATCAGGCACTGCCTATGTAGGGTCGGATTGTTCATCGAAATGGTATTTGAAATATCTCCTCAATAGGTCATCAGAAATTTACAATTCTAAAGAGTGTTTTCTTTTATAACAATATATTTTATTTAAATATAACAAGTTCTGGGAATGTCTGTAAATATCATAGCAAAAAGTTTGAATTTCTTCTTCTTCTGTTTTTTTTTTACATGATAACTTAAAAACCAAAACAATGGTGTCAACCAAATTCACTGAGATGACATTGTTACAAATCGGGTATCAGCTTCTATAAGTATTATTAATAACTAGTAGTAATTAAGAACAATTATAATTCTAATGTAAGCGATGTTATCATTACCCCTTGAAGTTAGCTTTTGTACAGATATTTGGTGTTCCTTTAAAAAGCTTAAGTGCAAGATGAAACAGGAATTGCCAGCCAATAATTGATAAACAATTAATAATACAGTTGGAATCTTAATGTATTTAGAACTTGGTTATAAATAAAACCTTCCTATAACTATAGAAACACTGCATTAAAAAAACAACAAGCAAACAAGAAAAAACTTTGCAAAAAAGGAAGTAAATATAGGGATGGATAATATCAATCCTTCAAATAACAATGCATACAAGATAGTATGGATAGCATTTGCATCATCCCTACATAATAACACAGGTAATAATTAACACATAATAATATATATAATTATTCAATTACAATTGAGTTTAATTTATCATATTTTTATCTGTTAACATTCTACTACACTGTGTGCCTGTACTATTATGTAGGTATGATTGAAAATATCATCCCTACTATATTGTTTGCATTGTTTTTGAAGGATTGATATTATCCATCCCTATATTTACTTCCTTTTTTGCAAAGTTTTTTCT